ACTCCGCGCTGCCAATAACTATCGTCACGGCTATATTTAACTAATTTGATTGACTTGTTGGGTAGGCATGAGGTCACTCATCTATGACTCCTTAACCTGCGCGGTGCTCACACGTGTGCGGTGTGCATAGCTTTGAAGAAGTAGGTTCCTTCAATTTCTGGCTTCTAGCTTACTTGCGTGTGGCTCGGTAGGGCTTTGATGCACAGCTGTTCCTGGAAGCCCTTGTGTCACGACGGCTAAGTGCTCAGCCTTCCCAGCGTTTAAAACCAAAACAATGTGAATGCTCAACAAGGTGTTGAGCTGTAGGAAATGCGGTCAAAGGATCAGTTATACCTGTAGTGAATCGTGTTAATACAAGTCCACTAACCCGGTCGTCGCAGCCCCACTCACACGCCCCCTCTTCACGGTGCACCCGTCAGTCACTGGGACGGCCTGCTCATTAACACCTCTTGTGTACCACCACCACCACGCGCCTTATCTATGTGACCATTCAGACGCCTGTATTTCTACCAGTACACTCAACTGTACCAGCTATCAAAACACGACTTGGTTGAGCTGTCTAGTAAACGGTTGCGCCTTCTCCACTCCGATCTTCTTTATTTTCGCGGGAACACAGGGTAACGTATTTGGTGTAGATTGTTGCAGTGGCCCCGGTGCGGTTCAAGACAACAAGCCGGGATCCTCAACATATCTGCTTTTGCATGTCACTTCAACGTATCCTCGTTCCTGTTGACCTTGCTGTCCTTACAGTTCATGATTTTGTCCTCAACGTCTAGTGAAATGGTTTGTTCAGCGGTACCCCAGTTGTCACCCGTGTGCTCGTTCATGTCACTGAATAACTACCTCGCCCCCATTTCATACCTCGGATGTTTGACTTCCAGATTCCCTTCGTGGATTTTGTTCCCGAAGCTGCGCTAATGACTTGTGTCATAATTTCACACGGTCTATTTTTCACTTTAGGGATCTGTCGTCGATCGAGAAGCCAACGAGAAGGAAAAGGTAAGTGAGGCTCTCGCTTTACCCTGGCTTACGGCACTTTCACGTCACCAAACCACCGCTCTTTGTGTATCCTCTGTAGTCGTTGTTCTGCCCCATTCGACTCGGGATATCGGTAAATTGTTGCAGCACCTTTAGTCTTCTACGGTCCTTGTCTTATCTGTAGTTTTTATCACTCAACATAATGACAAATACGTTGGGTGTGCTTCATAGCCTCTGTTGACATCTGGTGTCTCTTCCTGAATTTCAGATTTTTGTCTCCAACCAGGGGACTGCCGTGATTCGCCTCGAACCAGTTTCCGGGTCGCTAAGGTGTCACACCGATTATCGGACTATTAATGGCGCACTGTTACCCCCTCCTTTAAATGTCACATTTTGCTTCATAGCTGCTGTCGGAATTGGATAATGTCACTTGGGAGTACCAAGTACAGGCTTTCATGTATTTGCGACTAAAAGTCATATCATTTAAATACTTTCTACCATCTCAATCATTGTTCGGAGAAAGGGCCTTGTTCATGCCAAGTTCCTGGTGGTTCAAGTTGTGCAGCGGTCACCGAATTGCTCTAATTCTGCCTTTTTTTGTCCCTTACCCACCTCCGCCCCGAATATTTGGCGCGACGACGGTAACTTTCAGCAAATATCGATTAGGTGCTGTGAAATGGTGACCTGTTTGGGGTTATTGAAACCACATACCGCATATTCGTGCTTCTACTGTCAAACCTCTCACCTAGACCCTGCCAAAAGGTTGCTGAGTTTAGTAGACCGCGCGTCTACTCCCCAGGCCCGTCTTTCTGTAATTCGCGTCTTTCGCTAGGTGTTTTCAATTATTTGGATTCAAGCGTGCGTGCGTTCGTGCATCATAAAATGCAGCGTCAATGGCGCTCTCTGCCACTTTCGCTAACCACGCAAATTGCTTCGCCATCACCAGCTTCTAATTGGCCAAACGAGTCGCCCAGTAGCGTCGGATGGTACTTAAACTCAATTGCCTCTGCACTGTATTACGCGCTGTTGTTCATCTCTTAATATTCATTTATTGAAATCCATTCAAAGCTTACTCGTTACCGAAGAATGGTGTAATCACACGTGTCTAAGGACCTATTCCGTGCTTATGCCTACTCATAAATTCGTCAATGTTTCGAGCTAGGGCCGAATTTCCCACCATTGTTGTGTGGCCTTTTTACTGACTGGTTTCCCATGACCGATTTCCACCAAAGCCTCAAATGCGAACCAAATCTGCCGCATTCTAATCTCACCAAGTGTCTGTGCTTTGTAACTAAGAGAGTTCCCATTCTCGTGCGTAATCCTAGCTTACGTTACCCTGGAGGCCGTGTGCTGTGACGCGTTTGCACTAAATTCCGATTCGTTGACCTTGAAGCACCTCGTTCAGAGTTTGTACTGCCCAATCACACTGCTCCTCTAAATTCTCTCTGTCCAGGTTCTCAAAAGGGCCCCTAAAAAGCGAAAGATGGTAAGGCAACACGGATAATTTTCCCCTCACCGCCATCTTCTTCCGTGCGTTTTGTCCAATCCCTGGTGCCTTGAGCTTTGCCTTAGCTACTTCCGCAACCACTTGCGAACACATCAACGCGTTTGCGCACCAAGCCTCTAACTCGCTTTGTCCTTTTTTTCTCGAATTTTCGTTCACATGGCCGAATTTGTGGCGTTTAGCCGGAAGTGTGTTTGGGTGGTCGACATCTCTCTCTCTCCCAGTTGTGCGGTGGCGGTGACTTATCGATACACAATAGGCGTCCATCTGGTTGCCTATTGTGGTGAAGTTTTGCTCAGCCAACGATGCTTTGTGAACGTCAATCTTCCATCCTTTCACCTTCCACCGTCCATTCTTATAACCCGCTCAGACTCAAGTGTGGGGCGATGTGGATTGTAACTGATTAAAGGCCTATCACCAGTGAACCGTCTGGCGAAAAAGCCCGTTTCACTCATTTGCTCCCCCTTTGGTAGACACCGTGAAACGCAGAAACCTCACCCTACATTGCGCTTAGCCTATTCCAACAGTATTTTGCCTTTTCTCCGCGCTTAAAATGTGTTTTTTTTTTCACATTTGCAAATGTCCCTTCTGTTCACAGCAATTCCTCGGTATTAAGCACTGCTTTTGAGCAACAAACTATTTTAAAGACACATGCCTGTTCCCCGATTCCCCGTACATTCGACACGCGTGCAGCATTCAAAGTTTGTGTGAACCTCTAGGCTTTCCCGTTTTGCGCTTGTAATATTGGCCGCTTGGATTGTAGAGCAAGCCCCTGCCTACCCTAAAGGACAACGACTTCATGCACGACATATGCAAGCTTCACCTCGAGGAGCCCGCGAAACAGCGGCTAATGGAACACCTCGAACGCGACATTGCAGTAAGTGGGTAGTTTTGCACTCGCATGGCGACTTTAGCTATGTCTCACTGAATCTTTATAGTGTTAAATCACTGCGATTGCAAATTTCCTCATAGTTTGGAATTGTTTTAGGTCGTTACTTCAGGTGCATCGGAACGCCATCGGCTAATCTAACCGCTCGCGGTAGTCGATGTGTAGCATTTGCCCAGAATAAGCCATGTCTTGAGTTAAATTGTAGCTCGTGTGCCTGAATAAGTGTTCATCACAACTTCACCTCTGAACCTGCTGCACTTTGTCGTAATTTAGCCTAATCAGTTTACTCCTGTAGGATCTGGTTTGCGCACCTGTCGAAACCCTCTGTCTGCAGGGTGTGCGTTTTTATTGGATTCCGGAGTTGGTACAGCTTTATGTTTAGTAAAAAAAAAAACTCCGGCACGACCTTTCCATCGACCTGTTATTGGTTTTCGCACTTTATCGGTCCATCGCTCATTGTCATTCTAACTTGTAATTTAAACAGCCAATGAATGCTGCCTTTGAACACCTACGCTCCCTGCTTCCACGTGGGGTGTTTTACCTATTTCCGTTCCTTTTTTCTAGTTTTTGCAGGAGAATAACCTAATGGACTACAGCGCCTTGATAGGCATCCACGACGTGGAGTTAGCTTCCAACGAATTCGACGACCCTTCTGCTTCCATGCCGGCAGTGGACATCGGTGGAGCCAGGCACAGGGGCTCGGCCGGGGAGATCTTGGCTTCGGCCGGTGACGGGCTCGGCGAGCTGTTCGAGGAGCGCCTTTTCGGCGGCACCCATCGCGCCCACTCAAGCCACAATCCCAGGGAGAACATCGGGGTTGGCTCGTACTCCTCTGTCGGCGGTGGGATGCCGCATGATTTGTGCGAAGCCCTGTCGGATCTTAGTCCACCTAATTCTGACGATTTCGACACTTTACTGGCCAGTGGCGCGCCTGATGACAACAGTGAGTTGAGTTTTTATCAAGTTGGATTGTCACTTGGAACCTCAATTTCACCTTAAGGCTACTTACTTTCCGCGGTCGTTTGCCTTTCACATTCACGTATGACTAATGAAGGAATGAAATTGCCTCGTCCATTAAAATGTTACTTTTGCATTTTCGTTTGCCTAAAGGTAACCTCACGCCACCGGAAAGCCCCTCCGATGTCTCCCTTCGCTTCCAGTCGTTTACTGGCGAACTCAGTCCGAACACGGAATTCTATGGGTTCAGGGGCTCGCCGTGTAAGCGTTGCCTTCGCTCCTGGTTAATTTCGTTTACATGGAATGCACTAGTGCGTGCTAGACACATTCCTGTTGCTCGTCCCCCTGTGTCGGAAGAAGCAGCCGAAAGAACGTGTCGGTGTGCAGACGAGTTTTGTTTGTTTGGAATGCGCTGCCAGAAATTGCTGCCTTTCGCACAACCAAGTTAGCCAGGTGCACTGGGTTCGGGTATGGTACCTCAAATACCTCTTCCCCCAAGTGACACTTCATGCTGCTGTCTGGTTTAATTAACCGTGGTACCACGTCTTTGAGTAGTAGTGCATTATCAAACCTGGATGGAACTTGTATTCTGGTAGCTTGACATTTTCACATTATCCTCCTCAATTATTTTAAATCAGAAAGTCTCCTTTTGTATTACTGTTGATTGTGCCACGGAATTTGCCATTCTTGCGTGTATTCCTGGTTTGATTTGTCTACTTGTATTTATTTAAACGCCTCACAGTGCTAAAATGACCAAAATGTCAAATTTGTGTGGACGTGACCACCTCTCGACAAGCAGATATATCAAATTCCGTTTGCGGCAAATTCAACCCCTCCCAGTCGGCGTCGCTGTGGGTTTGGCAAGCGCGCGGTGTGCGATGGAATTGTCCGCCGAAATCATTTCGATTTTAGGGATTAATTTGGTAAAGTTTAAGCATACACACATGCTCACACTAATGGAAGGTGTGACGATTCAAAATCTCTTCTTTGGACTGTTTGAAGCATTGATCACGTGTAGATATTTGGTGTTATTGTGCTTTGAAATGTGCCAAATTGTTTGCAGCTCTCGGTCGACCCGTCATCTACTTCATCGCCATCGTCGACATTCTCACTCGCTACGGCATGCGAAAGCGCACTGCGCAGACCTACAAGACCGTCAAGCACGGGGGCGCCAACGCCGACCAGATAACCACCGTCCGACCCGACGTTTATGCTCGTCGTCTGCTGGACTTCCTTGGACACTGCGTCGAGTGACGCGCCACCTCCTGTGTGATTTGGTCTCCGCCCTCGTTTTGTTTCCCTCCTTTGGTTTGCCCCCAGTATCCTCCCCCCACTCACACCCTGGGCATTTCTAAACTCTCCCTCTCTCTCTCTCGCTCTCTCTCGTCCGCTCCTATCACAGAAGTCTAGTTTGTCTTCCTTTTGCCCATGTGCAAGCATGCCCACTTCAGAGCTGCTCTGTTTCCCCCTTGCGCAAACATTTTGTATTGCTACGGTAGATTGTCTCGAGCTCTCCATGTTTGTACCGCATACTTGTTATTCAAGCGTACCCTAATGCTACTGCCGCCATTGCTTTTGAGTCGTCGATACTTATTCTTATGATATCTATGTGTATTTACCTCACACTGCTTACGTGTTACCGTGCATTTCCTTTGTATGAGATATTGATCCATAAATTCCAACAAGCCTTCTACTCCTGTGTCCTTGCGATGGGGTGCAGCAACTCGTGTTTTTTTTTTATCAACGAGTCAGCGTCAGTTCACTAGATTCTGTCGGTAGTGGTGTAGTCATTTTCCGAAATTCGATTGCATCACTCCTGGTTCTCAAGTCACCTACTTTGGTCGAAACTCTTTGGGGTGTGGCGTTCGAGTAATGGACACGTCTGGTGACATATCTCGCCACAGCGTCAGCTTTAAAAGGTTGCTGTGGGCCCAGCATGTGGTCTTGAACCACGCCGGGGCCACGGAATTAACCCTGGCCCGATTACGCTTCCCTAATACCCGCGATGAAGGAGAAGATCGGAGAGGACGTGGACACGACCGTTTACTTCAGAGCTCAGTCAAAATTGGCGTCGTCTGTGGGGTTTGCGCGTGTGTATTTATAGCTCGGATGTCTGAGTCATACATGCGCTGACATCGAGACCTAGGTGTGGGGATACTCCAAGATAAATATTCGTGCTAATGAAGGGGGAGTTGAGGATTCGCGCGGCTGGCGGCATGCTGCGAAAAGGGGAACCCTTTGTCGGAGGTGGAGCGACCGGATTAAGGGGTTGAATAAACACATTTCACAAAACGGTGAACTCATCTTCGGCTTCCATGAGCACATTGATATTCGAAACAGGATCCTAAACGGGTGCACCACTAGCTCAAATCCCTGTGATTGTAAAGGCTGTTTTGATGAATGCGTTGAATATATCCACGCGACCTGACGTGCACTCATGCTAATGAATGCGTGTCCCTAACTTCACCTCTTCTGTATAACGCTCTCGAGTATTGAGGTCACTATAATTGGATACTCTTGATGCAACAACCTATCCTTTAGTCTGTGACTAGGCGTTAGTCAATCGAACAGTTGAGATTAGCGGTTATGCACGAATATTATAATGAATCACATTGAAATGATCAACTGACTGCGTGCTATCCACCCACGCAGTAGACACACACTGACTAGCCTACTTAAAACTCGTTTCCCACCGTCATTCAGTGGTTGCGCATGGTTCATGAATATCTGCACATGGTTCACGTGGTATAGCCTTCAGGTGATTAAAGTGTTCTCCAGCAAAATCAATACTTTGAACACTAAGTAACCCCATAGTGTCCCCCGGTACGTTATGCTGCATGCTTCCTTACTTTAATGGTGTAATTAGACCCGCTAAATTTTTAATTGGTGCTAAGTGAAGCTGTCCACCACAGCAGTCTAGACGCTTCTTTAATGTTCTTCTTCTGATTGTGACTGATAAAAACAAAATAACTCGGGGATATCTACGCGGTATTGACAGATTTCAAGTCTAAACCCCTCTTTGATGGAAGAAATTAAATTCCCTCGGCTTTTCAATCAGTGTACGCGGATCAAACAACAAAAATCCTTCTCAGAAGTGCCACCAGTAAAACACCAAGGTCGTGACTTCTCTCAAAATCCAGAATGTAGTTGACGCCATCGTATTTCGCAATTTGTCCCTCGCTTATGAAATGATGCAACGAGAAGCTTGTCGTTTATTTTTTTGTGTCGTGACTACAACTGGGTGTCTTGTTTCGGAAGAATCCTTTGATCATGGCGTAGCTTCTCTCTAGATAGCCATTTTTCCTGTCCTTCCAAGCTATTTGAGACTAGTATCGAATCTAGGGCATTTGGCCCATGAAATCAGTGCTTCCTTTGGTTTAAGACCATAATCCGCTCATTTTCTCAGCTAAAGGATTGACCCAGTGGGGATCTGCAGCTGGTTAGTGCATTGGGACCCTGTCGAATACTTTGCTGCTTAGTAGACCAAGAAGGCAGTAAAGTGGACTAGTTAAATTCTACCGCCCACACCACGAAGAGTAGGCGCGAATTTTTGCGTGATGCGGTCTTGGTAATTGGGGCGACTGACTCATCGTGTCATGGGATTTTGGGTCGCTCGTAGACTTAAAGAAACTACAACTCCACAAATACTGCTTTTTAAGGCGTAAATTTGGGTAGGAAATAATGTCCCAACTCCCTACTATCCAGGTTAGCACTTTCTATTTTCCAGGCTTCACCGACTCCTGTAACTCATGGAAGACCCGGTCGTTGATCTGGTCAGTTTGGTCAGCCAGGCACTGCCAAAGACCACACAGGACCCATTTTGTGCTCAAAAGTGAGTATTTGATTAACTACGGTAAAGAAAAAGTGGTTGAATCACAGACACCCCACCTAGATAAAAACGAGACTTTTGAATGTGTTGTTGTTCATCATTGTTCCTGTTGATGGTAACCGAAATGAGTTAGCATTTTACCGAACAGCCTAGTTTTCTGGAAGGTGTTTCATCTAATTGTGCAAATACAATTCTAAGAGAACCCTTCCAGTCGCTTAATGACATCTAGCTAAAACTGACCCTAATTTCCATGTCATCCACCCTGGGAGAAATTTCGCCCAAGAATCATTGTCGGGCGCAAACTTAACGTGTTCTAGGAGCCCTGTATTTACTTCAGTGGAAGCCATCGATGCTTGCAGCGGGTCACGTGAGACAGACCGGATTAAGCGCGAGGAGCGATAGCACCATGACCTTCTTGGTTTACTTTTAAAAGTTGCACTTGAAGTGAATTGTGGGGACAACTAGGCAGGTGTGTTAATGCTGAAGTACACACACTAACCACAGTTAGAACCAGCTCTATAGCAGCCACGGGTGCCACGAATGAATCGCGGTTTTTAGAATCAGGAGAAAGGTGTTATACCTCACTCAACATACCCTTCCGTGCGTTCTAGTAGGCAAGCGATCGTGGCTCTTACACCATGCTTATGGGAAAAGAGAACTCATGTTGGGACTAAAAGGCATTATTGCTGAAAAGATCTGTGCGCCCCATTATGCCTCATTCTGTAACATCATTTCAACCAAGCATATTATACTCGGGTCTTGTCGTCAAAATATGTGAGAAGGTGGGTTAAAATGATCCCAGTAAATCAACTCAGGATGCAGTGTTTCTTGTAATTATTTCGATTGGTCCTTCGTTCAAGGTTGTATAGCTATGCCCACTTTATTACGCCACCCAATGTGCCTCAGGCGTTTTATTGGTCAGGGAGCATCGGTGGTGTGTTGGCCTACATGAAGTCACCAGATCTTGAAGAAATAAACAGCGAGATTGTTAGATTGGGTTGGACGCAGTGGACACCAACGATGCGCCTGTGCACTGCGCTTTTATCCCAAATTTCATTTCTTAATCAAACGTTGCACTCAAAGTTAATCTTGGTTTACAACTGCGGATTATGACATAAAGACCTCTTTTAATTGTTTTTTTTAAAGGGAGGCCAGAATACTAAGATGACTTTTATGTAGAAGATAAAATTATGAACTGAGTGACACTACCGTGGATAGGGGCGTAGCATTCAGCACATCCATTTCTATATGCTTTAGTTTTGTTTCATTGTTGTGGCTTGCCTGCTAAGTGACATGTCATAGTGTATACATAATAGAGTCCTTTAGTTTTGCGTGGGTTGTACTTCTTAGCTGCGGATTTCATCACTTAATCGACATATATATGTCAGTCTGAACGAAACAATCTAGGCTTAGCAAACGAACATAGTTTACAAGGGCTGTCTGTAAGCCATTCTACACAGATGAAGCAACCGAGACTTCTATCAGAAACTTTTGAACCCTTTAATGCCAGGTGAGGCAGACTGTTAGGCCCACTTAAAACCCTACCCTCAAAATGAACTAATTAATGTTGCTGCTACAAATTCGTCTGAACGTTAATCAGGCTGTGATTCATTCAGAGCGTGATTGCTGATCCGTTGTATTGCCGTTTCTTTAGATTCTTTTGACCATAGTAAAAATGTGACCTTTTGAATGTGAACTGTAAAGGTTACGATCGATCTTGTTTGCCAACCCAATTGGAAGAGTGTAAATGTGTGGGAAACACAAAATATCAAAATGACAATCTGCTACACACCGGAAGGCAGTTTCTTGTTGTAGGCTAAATAAAATGCTATCTAGGCGCTCAGAATGAGGTCTGAAATGAACTGCAGTACAATAAATCTTAACACCTCGTAGCAATAAGGGTTGCATTTATGCTCATTTGCACGAATCGCCTTCTGGAAAAGCTTTATTGTGTCGAAAGTTAAACTGTTATGTCTTAAAAATAAATTTGTGTTTGGTTATTAGATAGTCCTTTTGCTTCCCCTGATTCCTTACATGGGATTTGTTTTATTTTACTGATAGAAAATGTAATACATATTTAGGAAGACAGAAAGTACCCTCTACGCTTGATCCATTGCATCCCTCGAGTGATTTAAAGATCTGCCACTATTTGTTGCATTATTAATTAAGAAACACTGTTAAAATCGTCATTTTAGCTTTCCGAATGATGTTAAAGACCGCATCAACGCTTTGAAGGCCCTTTACAATCGGAGAGCTACAATTCACTTGGAGTTTCAGAAGGAGTTGTATGCGCTTGAGTACAAATACTCGAAGTTGTATTCAACCGTTTGTCAGCAGGTTAGTGTGACAAGTATAATAAACTGCAGTAACTTATAATGCAGTCCAATTTGTGATTAAAATTTCACTCATTTTAATCGTTGCAACCGCCTAGAAGTCAAACGGAATGGACTTTACGCTGCAGATATCTATTTAGCTGTGAGATTGTTGACGTCACTAAGGCCCGCGTTAATGAACTACCGCACAATGCATCGAATGATCTATGGTTAATAACGAGGGCGCACAAGTTACATAACGCAACGTAGGTGGAACCAAACAGTTAGCCTAAGCTTTGACCCTCTGCCTATCGATGTAATATCAGTTGATTATTTTAAAAATAACAAACCATGCAGATTTCTTTTTGGTACGACTTACAACCAATCAAAACACACTCAGAGAGCCTATTCGCAAATTCCTGGACTAACGCTGGCCTCGATTTGGGATAAAAAAAAGTTACCTTGTGAGAAGGTATTTTGCTGCTTCAGCTGAAGTCACATAGACCGCTTGCATATGTGGCCTCCACGACCTTGACTTGGTGAATTAAAACAAATTAACGCCGATGAAGGCTGTCAGGCGCGGCCTTAGAAATGGGATGACCAAGTGAAGTGGTGTGATCAAAGGAGTTGTGCCAACAAGAGGCAAAGCCCAATGCCTTCTTGTAGTTGTCAGATGACCGCCATATGCCACGCTTACCTTCAGCGTTAGTCCTTATGTGTTACACTTCACCCTTCACGATTGCACAATTAAGACACGAAGGAAGCAGACCCATTAGCTTTCGCCTCTACTACTTTACCGAAGTTCAGTTGTTAGATGAGTGCGCAATTTCGACTTCTCCCAGAGAACCAACTTTATCAACATACTTTCAGTCGCGGGAAGGCTTCAATTATCTGTGGGGTCCTTGGAAATGGAGATACACGATCTGGTTTAGTTGGTCTATGTCGCCCTTCTGCTTGACCTAGCTTTTTTCTTTAACTCAAGTCATCGCCCTCTTGTGCAAGTAACTTGATCGCCAACTACATTCAATGAAGTTAACTGGTGTGGCTACAAGAGGACTCTCTTTGGTTTATTTCTGTTAAACGCTTCATGCCTGGACTTGAATATCTCACCCCATTTGACTGCTATTTATTCATTGCATTTGCATGCGCACTAAAGCACGCTGCCGCACCTAGAACAAACGCGGCGTGCTGCCGAATAAGCGATTGCTTCGATCCTGATGATGAGCACTTGTGTGATATCACTCACGCCGTTCTCAGGTGTACTAGGGGTGTCAACGAACAAAACTTCGCAAATTAGCCTTGCTAATGTTTACACACACCTCTCCTGAATTCTGGACACTTCGGTGTCTTCGTGCTTATTAAGGCGCTATTAGCTCTGCTTTAGTCCAAATCAGTTTGCGTGCTGATTGAATGAGTCATTTTACTATTCCGTTATTTGTAATTAAAATGGTCTTTCTGCTCGACGATCCAGCAAAGGTCCATCTTGAATGATGAAAATTTCGGAGCTGAAAATGATGGTTCCATAGATTCCCAAAAGGTTCTGGGGGATGCTCAGGTAGTACCACGTGCGCCATTCAGCGGTTCTACTGGAGACTCAAATTCCAGTGAGTACGTCTTAAATTCGTATTTTTGTACTTAAGTGACATAAGTAGGGAAGTTGACGCAAAAACAGTAAAGTTACATGTAAAAACGGAAGATTATCTTTCGACCACACTTGATTTTATGAAATCTGCCGTATGCTTTTCTACATTAACGTTTCTTATAGATTTGGCGTTTAAAAATGGGATGAGAGTCCAGTCTAAATCCATTGCGTTTTTAAAGTTTAATGACGTGAGTTTTGCCAAAAAGGTGAAGTACTATGAGGGATGGCGCGTACGTTCGGTTTGGATTTCAGAAAATGGCTGAGTTGTGTAATGAGTGTGTGTGTGTGTGAGCCACAACATTAGCCACGTCTTACTGTTAGTTTAAATACCACTTTATCAGGTTGTTGCAAGCGTTTGTCAGTTAACATGATTTTCTAATTAAAATAGAAAACCGCGGTTCCAGAAACATTCTTTTGTAGACATGACCTCCTTAGCAAACCATTTCAATACTTTGGCACTAGCCTGGTAGTATATTGTTACTTAGATGTTCTACGGCATTTACATATGCATGAGATTTCACCACTCCCTTCTCACTGTCGGTGTGGTTATTTTGCCAAAATTAGTTTGTCGAAACCCAATTAAGTGGTTGTTTGCTTTTCAAGGTAGAGGAATACCAAATTACTGGGTAACGGTTCTGAAGGCTGCTCCCTTGCTTAGCATCTACTTGACCAAACACGACCTTGACATTCTCAAGTACCTGGCTGACATCAGGTGTTCCTACTCGAAGAAGCTTTCCAGTCCTGTGAGTAATTCGGATTAAATTCGTTTGACAACGCAACACCACCTCGTTGGGTAAACAAAGTATGCAAATGTGAGACATTTAGCAGAAGAGGTGACTTGTGTCACCTTCGTTGTTGCCGCCTTAGCAAACTTTTAACCACGTAGCTTTGAGTAACACTCGCAGTTATGGTTGATTAGAAGCTAGCAAAATCTCGGCCTACCCGCATACTGCACTACATCTGGGCTGCATGTGTGTGAGAAAAATTAGGACGCGCTGCGAAGTAAACATAATGTTCGAAAATCCGTCTCTGTTAGCCAGTGCTTTGTCATCCAAAACATCTCTCATTCCAGACCCTTCCAAAAACCTGATAACAATGGCTTAACAAGATTACCACTCCCTACCCAAACTGGCCAACTCACGCTACTAGAGTGATCTGTTCATGATTCAAAGTCGCAACGCAGAAGTGTATAATGTAACTCACCTGTCCAGTGTATAAGTGGATGACTTACAAGCCAAAGCCCACTAAGGTCTCACTGCACGTCATTTCTGATCGATTTAGTCCTGCTCCCCACAATTTCCTTAGATTCATTAAGTTATAGTCACTGAATACCACCAGATCACGTCTATGTTGAGCGCTTTGCAATGTTGTGTTGCAGGGTTTCCGATTGTTGTTTCTGTTTGAGAAGAATCCCTTCTTCAAGAACGTCATCCTGATGAAGCAGTTTTCACTGGAATTTTTCAGTCAAGCCGAGGACCTGCAGGAATTCGGTCCCTTCAAAGTGACAGCAACCAAAACGTAAAGTAACCCTCAGTTTTGGTTTGTTAACGAACGCCTTCTGTTGCCCGACACACGATTGTGAGATAGTTTAGGGCTATTCTGGTACACTTTTGAAACCAGCATTCTTGCAGACCTTAAATAGCAACATGAAAGCAAGTCAATTTTTACCGCGTGTTCTCATGCTCCGATTCTGTGCCACATTAAACCATCCCAAGTAACATTGAATGAGCATTTTTTTTTGCAAAATTAAGCCTGGATATCGAATGGACTTGCTCACGATCCACGACGGATGATTCGCTCTCAACACAAAGAGGCTCATTCTTCGACATATTTCGCGATATCCACCCAAGTAAGTCAAATTGAATTTTGCGTGAGCGCAAAGAACTACCTAATTATTGTCTTAGTTTCTAGTTCTCAAATTTACTTCCTCCTCCTTTGCAGCATCAAATGAATCGCCCGAGTACTCGGTAAGTTTGAAGGTTAAAATTCATTCCAATAATGTGCTTTAAATCCCATTCAGGTGAGGTGCTGGCTTTAAGTAATAGTTGAGTTACTTTACTGGTAATCAGTAGCGTCAATGGAATCCAAGCCCTCGCCAGTAGCTAGCAGTGTGGTAATTTTAAGGCTGCTATTTCAGAGCTCTTGTCCTTTACTTATTCACTTAGCAACTGATGGAGGACTACGATATTTGCGTCTACATACGTGACCGAATTTTGCCCTACTCCGTGTACTGGTACACTGGCGAGATGATCTCCGGCTAGACGGACGTATTTTGGGTAGGTTCCAGGCGAGGCCATTTTATCTGACCTTGGCTGCATTACCCACATTTAGAATTTTCTTATGCAACGAAGAAACGAACAAAAGACGAAGTCCCGGACTCTGCCTTCGGTGCTCGAACCCGCTTGTTTTGTACCGCAATCCACAGTCTTCTGTCGCACTTATTTCTGCACTGGATTTGCTTTTCTCAGCGCACCAATAAAGTCTTGGCGTTTGCTTGATGCACCAACAAGGTGCTTGCTTGTGCTGAAGGTCAGCAAACATTCAAAAAATACTTGTTTTTTAGATGTGAACATTTGCAGTTTGTAAGTGGTTAGACAAGAGCTGACTAGAATGCGATTGGATGGTTAGCGGCATTGATTTTAATTGGTGACTGTCCAAGGTTGTAGTTGGTGTGGTCACTGATACCTAATACTCAACTGTGGTGACCTAATCAAGGCCACATCTGCCCTGGAACAAAGTCATTTTTGGAAACGATCTCTCGTACGACCGTTAATTTGAGAGAATGACTCACTGGTACGTCAGCTGGAAAGCAAAAACATGCATAGAAAACCACATCGCAAATCCCTTGTTTAGCGTTAATCTTCTCATCTCCGTTGCCAAGACAAAAACAAGACGGCGTACAAAAACGTGTTTATTGTCTCAGCCAGGGGCTCAGTTTTGGGTGACCTTGAAAGATGGAATAGCACTGATGAGAGTTGTCTGTGTGGGTAGAGCAATACCAAATCCCACAAATACGAGAAACAAAGCCCTGGGGAATGCTGATTTCCCCAAAAATTTGTTGTTTATACCTTCATTCCGAACCACCTTATCCTGTGGCCTAATTACAGTTTTCTTGTGGCTAAAAATAAGACTCCACGTGATCATGGCCGTGATCGCCACTTTCACTGTTCTAGACGCGTAAAATACGCGTACAACATTTCACTGACCTTCTAAAACCAACACACTGTATAATCCCTCAGTTGCTGATATACTGTCGGCAGAAAATTGATAAGCAGAATGCGGACAAGATTTAGAGTGCTAATATGTGTAAATTGGTGGGCGACAGTGGGATGCCACCTCTTGAAAGGGTCCACATTCACAGCAAAGTTAAGCGAAAATGACTGGGATCGCGTTTACTTCAACCTGCCATTGGGATACTATGCGTTCCTTAGCGTCTCTTCATGGTTAGATGCCGTTTATGTGGTTAATTTTGAAGAGAATCAAGAACCGACATCACAAATATGATGTCTGATTCAAGGATTGATAAAAGGGACGACACAGAATTACGGAACTCTAGCAACCTTCAAACTAATAAAGGTTTTTCGCACCACTGGGGTCAAGTGAAAGCTGTTTAGGTGATTGCTGAGCAGGATTATCCGTTTGCGCTAATGTTAGCCCCACGTAGTAGTTACAGTCGCGATAACCAACCCCTGAGAACTCCCAGTTTACCTCAACTCAACACGCAATAGAGTCGCGTGCATGAACTGTGTACTTTTGTCCAGACAGGGGAATCGGAGCGATCAAAAGTGCCTACCAGACATCGCATAGTCGACATCTAGTGTTTACCAAACACCACTTGCTTTCGCCTAAGAACAGTCGCTTGTTCCACCGGCTGCGTACCTCGTGAACATCCCGTGGGACATTCAACGTACTATTTCGTTATACTTTCTACACAGCTGACCTTAATTCGCTTACCGTCCACGGTTACTTTAATGTTTTTTGTGAGGAGTCTGTTACCTTACTGACGAGGCTGAATTGTGCTGATAGAATCTGTCCTTTGCTAAGCGTTGTTAATAATTTAAAAGTATAGTTAATTTTGTGTATACAGGGCTAAAGTTTACGGCATGCACCAGCACTTCCACGTACACCTTTTCCGCCTGTAGGACGTTGAATACATTCACATTTCGGTGTCTCAGCGGAAGTGTGGCCAAAATAGCAATAAAGGAATTCTGCCGCCAAATGTTCAGATTTTGCGTTCTTGCTATCACCCAAACGGAGTAAAAATTTAAAAAAAGAAATATTTTAGAATGGATTTTCTAAACTGCCTTCCTCTGTGTAATCAGATGAGTTTTGTTTGCAAAGAAAATCCACAAGCAGTACGTTCTTTTCCAACTAGGAACCTTTATTAAGCTATAAGGACAAATGTTTAACAATTATTTATTTTAACGGAGAATGCAGTTTAGGTTCTTTCGAACCATTGTTCACCGAGTTTATGAGCAATTCTAACTCCTTAGATGGCCATTTTGTGGAGAGTTGAAGCCATGAGTTTGGCCTAAGCACTTTCTCCAGAACACTGCCACTAAAGTCGGCGTAGTGGGATGACCTTGATTCGCCTTTTAAGGCCATCCCCAGAACGGTACTCTGTGAGGCGCTTATAAGTTGGTTCAGCTTAAGTTACTTTCATGTTCAACACGGATTTAGAAAACGTTGTTGAAGTCTAGGTGTATCCACTACTATCAAGGTGTTCGGGATCTTCGACATAGTCTACAAAAGGCTATTTCAATAAAAACAAATCTATCTTTGAAAAAATGTGTTATTAAAATAGCCTTAAAGGTTAAAAATCAGCATGCAATACAGGTTAATATTTCAAAGCACGGATAGTAAGCACTCGAAGCCAATAAATATGGTGTCGCTGGCTGCGTTAGCAACTTTAGGATTCGTTGGGACTTCTATTACCTTTCCCACAAAATCCGATTCAAATTCCCTACTTTATTACACCTTGGTCGCCTTAGCATCACTAGCTTTGTACTTTTACACGGCTATCGATTCTACCCTGTTCCTTCGCATAGCGAGTAAAGTCAACGCATTGTCTACGCGCGCGTAGACAGGCTAGCAAACAGAACGTCCGGACAGCCGAGTAACAAATGAGCACGCTTACCTGATTTCCAGACTGCGCCGTATGCCGATGTGGAAGTTGAAGTCGCACTCAGCGCAATCAACTAAAAGGTGGCGTCCACGTTGCTTTGGTTGGCCAACGCAATGACGACATTTATGTCCCATGTTTTGTGTGGAATGGACAGAATTCCACACGAATTTGATTGCCTTCAAAGACGCAAACCCATCTCTGTCGATTGAACCACGAAACTCCCTCGCCTGGGCCACATGAACGAGCCATATAAAGTATTTGTGTGGCCAAACTGTCAATTAATGGATTAATCCTACAAACCTTTTGGCTTAATCCATGAACTATAGTCTGAAAACAATAATATCTTTAAAATACTGCAACTATTCATGATACTCAACTGGTAAATAACGAGGCTGAGGGTGTAGACAGCACCGATTTTATGCTTGTCAGGTTTTAATGGTTTCTTGATTTCCACATCTGTGTTTAACATAACAAATTTTTAGCCATCGCAGTGGTCAAGTTCGTGTTTCCCACCTGCGTAACACGAGACCTCACAAAAAAATTAAATTATCGTTAGTAAGGGCTGAAGTGAGTCTCTAAGGGATCAGGAGATTCGATGTCGTCAGAGCAACTGGTTACCCTTAATTTTTACTATTTTGACATAACAAACCCAGAATTTATGCTTCCGCTGGTTCGTTTTTTGCCTGGAAGTAAGTTCGCTCCGTGTTTTTAGGACGTGGCTAAATTGGACGCGGTTTATTGGTTGAATCAGACGGGTGGATGCCCCGTGATTTATTTAGGCGCTAACGCAACTGAGGCTGTGTGTCTGCGTGGGTAATTTATGGCATACTCGCCAGAGGGATTTGATTTGGAGCGTCGAAGGGCAATTCAGTTAAGCAACCTCCAGAGGTTGAAGCACCGTTTCCTGAATGTCAACGCACATTTGGTGTTGGAAGTTTGATCTCTAGTATCCATGACCTGTGAGCGTATTTAAGGGTATCAACGCAAATTTTTTTTTCCAAGTTAGAGCCACGTAGTGATCTGGAATCCATGATTAGAATGAATCGCTAAGATGCTCAAATAAATAATCTCCGTGACCCCAAATAAACGATAATTGTACATTATCAGAAGGTAATGGTTTACTAGCACACTATGGGAATAATAAAATGTTAATTCTTTCCCACCAGTTTCCGTAATTGTTAAAGGAATGAACTTTCAAAAAAACGCTGAATTGCACAAATACCAAAAATAGGTAATCAGATATGGTCTCATTCCTGTCTACCATCTGGCGTCGTTTTCGTGAAATGACCCAGAGTGTCACTAATTTTTGGAGACGGCGGAGTGCGCCATTTCGCCATCGAAAAACAGAAAAAAAAAACAATTTCCTAATTGTATTTAGATTGAAGTTATTGGGAGGAATTTGTGCAAACGTAAGTCCAGACCTCAGAAGTGTTTCGCTTTTAAGAAATCAGACACAAAACCAAAAATTACATTTATTTCCAAACGAGTAAATTTCGCTTTAAAATACCCAAAAATGGTTGAAAATATCAGAAATCAGTTGAATTAATTTGGATAGTAAATGACAAGCAGATAAATCTTCATTTTTCTCGTCAGTGAACCTATTTTGGCACACGAAGAAGTACTCGATGAGTGTACAGAAGAGAAGAAGGGTTTTTTTTTCGTTTAAATGTACTACAAGTTAATTATTACATACCAGTGTCTTTCGTGAAAGAAACAAAATAATCATTTCAGAGCAATTGAATACAACTGGGTGATTGTAAGGCTGCTATTCCACGCCTCAAAGAGGGTTTAGGCATGCACCTTTAGCTATGCTGATGTCTCTTTTACAACCACAGTATGAACTAATAGAATTAAATATTAAAAAAGGGAAATAAAAATGGCGCTTCCATTATGTTACGTTATATAGGGGTTTGTGAAATGATCGCTGGAGCTGAGAAAAACGCAATCTGGACGCTTATTTGGGTGGTGCTCCTGCTGCTAGAACAATCACTCAATGGTTTAGTCGATTTCGAAGAGGTAATTTCAATCTAAATGAGATCCTTTCTCTCTGGGCTGCCTTCTGGCATTGATAAGGTTGTTATGGGCCCCAGCATGTGGCCTTGAACCACGCAGGGGCCTCTGAGTTGGATCTGGCCC